CTGGTCACTGGATCGGAACTGTTCTCTGGATCAGTTCCGTTCTCTGGATCAGAACTGTTCTCTGGATCAGTTCCGTTCTCTGGATCAGAACTGTTCTCTGGATCAGTTCCGTTCTCTGGATCAGAATTGTTCTGCAGAGATGTTGGTTTGAAGCTAATCCCCCATCCAGTGTTTTTCTGATCCGATCTGGTACCGATCGGATGCTGGTTGGAGAGAATGGAGCTGACCATGTGACTGATGGTGTCAGGGTGGGTATAGATATTGTTAAATAGATTAGCACTGAACTGAATATTATTTATTAACAGTTGATTAGCAGCAGAAATCAGAGCAGGTGAAGATGATGGATGAAACATGGCGTCTGCCTGGATCTGCTGTCTGTGGATCGCTGTAACTCCACTGCTGTGTGGCGTTACTACGGAAACCGATCGATTCAGCTGATGAATCAGTGAATCTCTGCTGCTGATGCATCTTTACAGGAACAGGTATACCTGTCGGCGTTCCCGTGAACTGATTCCTTCCTGCAGCTCTCCTGCTAAGCCGCCATGTTTGGTTTTCTGCTGTCGGTCAGAATGTGAGGCGGCTCATCCTCCGTCTGCAGAAATGCTGGAAATGTTTAGATTCAGGGAATCATCGGAGATCGGGTGTGCAGATTATTCGATGCAGTCAGAATCTTTGCTTGTTGATTTTCTCTGCAGGCTGATCGTTTTAAATAAAGGCGGGATGTTGTTTTAGTTTTTATTTGTTTTCTTAGTGAGAAATGATGATGTGATATTTCCTGTTAGCTTCAGCTGCTGATCTATGGAGGTCAGCCTCCCTCCTCCTCCAAGAAGCACCGACATCCAGAGGTTTACCTTCTGGACCTTTAATGATGCAGAGAGGATTCATGTCTGTTGTTATCATGACCTCATCATGACCTCATCCACCCTAACCAACCTCTGAATCTGTGACAAACTAACAGGGACGTCCAGGAACAGTTGATCTTGGTGGATTTTTAACCTTCGCTGGTGGAAAAATCAACCACAGCCTCTTTGATCTGCCTCTGCAGCAGATCCATCTATAGATCAGTCTATAGAGCCATCTATAGATCAGTCTATAGAGCCATCTTTAGATCAGTGAACAGATCAGTCTATAGAGCCATCTATAGATCAGTGAATAGATCAGTCTATAGATCAGTGAACAGATCTGAGGAACAGGATCCCAGGATACTGGAGGCAGATGGGTGAAGGGGAGCAACAGGTGGAACATGAAATAAAGGGTGAAGGGCAGCAGGAACCAATCCAACAATGCAGAAATAATGACTTAGAAAGTCAAGACAAAACCACCATTAACTAAACCACCACTAACTAAACCAGACTAACTAAACCAAAACCAAACTTGCAGATCCTGACAGTTTCATGAACAATGCTAAATAATAATAATGTTCCAAAGCCTGAAAAGCTTCCTGGTTAAAAGCTTTAAAATGAGGAAAGGAAATTATCATTGAAAAAAAAAACACAGAACCAGAAAGATTGGAGTGACTAAATGCTGCCCTCTGCTGGTGAAAGGCATTATTTATTATGTATTTATTTATCCACCTGTAGCTCTTTGAACATTGCTGAACTTCTATTAAACATATTCATCCAAAATCAACTCTTAAATGTTTTCATCTTTATTGTAAAACTGATTTGATAAAACTGTCATTCAAAAGTAGATCAAACCGTTAAATCAATTTAATTCTGTTAAATCAATAAAACAAAGAGAAGATGCTATAAACACCCAACCTAAATAAATAATGAATCTATTCCATTTTCATTATTACTACTATATTTATTGTGGTAAAATCTGGGATGATGTAATGAAACTGGGTGGAGACGAATTCTGTTTCTCAGATTTCATTGTTGGTTTCAGGTTGAAAATCAATTGTATCAAAATGATCAGAATCAGATATACTTTAATAATCCCAGAGGGAAATTACTTTTGTTACACGCTCCAGTTACAGTTTTATACAATATATACACACATCCAACCATACAATATAATAAAGATAAAAAATAAGAATAAAAAGAGATAAAATATATACACATATAGCTCTTCTGTATATCTGTACGTATATCTATGTATATGTAAAAATTAAATCCTAATAAAGTGGAAGTCCAAGTAAAGTGATACGTGGCGTGCAAACATAGTGCATGTCTAGGTGAATTAATGCATAAATTACGTGGGGGGGGCTGAATCATTTGAGGGAGGCGTTATATAGATTGATGACCACAGGTAGGAATGATGGCGCTCTATGGTGCATCTGGGTGGGAGGAGTCTCCTGCTGAAGGAGCTGGTCTGCTGGACCAGTGTCTCATGGAGAGGATGTGAGTCATTGTCTAAGATGGACTGAAACCTGGACAGCATCCTCCTCTCTGCCACGGTGGTCAGGGTGTCCAGCTGCTCCCCCACAACATCACCGGCCCTCCTGATCAGTTTGTTCAGTCTGTTGTTTTCAGCGACCCTCAGCCCACTGCCCCAGCATGTGACAGCGAAGAAGAGCGAGCTAGCAACGACTGACTCATAAAACATCCTCAGCATCGTCCCACAGATGTTAAAGGACTTCAGCCTCCTCAGGAAGAATAGTCGGCTTTGGCCCTTTTTGTAGACCGCCTCGGTGTTTCTAGTCCAGTCCAACTTATTGTTAAAGTACACTCCCAGGTACTTCTACTCCTCGACAGTGTCAACAGGAACCCCCTGGATGGAGACAGGGGTCACAGGTGTTTTTGTCCTCCTCAGATCGACTATGAGCTCCTTAGTCTTTGTCACATTGAGCTGCAGGTGGTTCAGCTCACTCCAAGTGACAAAGTTGCCCACCATGGTCCTGTTTTCACTCTCCTTACCCTTTTCAATGCAGCCAACAATTGCTGAGTCATCAGAAAACTTCTGAAGGTGGCAGGACTCAGAGCAAAAGCTGAAGTCTGAGGTGAAAAGGGTGAAGAGGAAGGGGGAGAGGACAGTCCCCTTGGGGGGCCCAGGGTTGCTGACCACCCTGTCAGACACACAGTTCTGTAGGCATACTTACTGTGGTCTGCCCGTCAGGTAATCAACAATCCAGGACACGATGGGGGCTTCCACGTGCATCGCAGTCATCTTCTCACCTAGTAGAGCCGGGCGGATGGTGTTGAAGGCGCTGGAGAAGTCAAAGAACATGATTCTCACTGTGCTCGCCGGCTTGTCCAGGTGATTGTAGACTGTTCAGCAGGAAGATGATGCTGTCCTCAACTCCCAGGCGGGGCTGGTAGGCGAACTGTAGTGGATCAGTGAAGGGACTGACCATGGGCCTTAGCTGCTCCAGGACTAGCCTATCAAAGGTCTTCATGATATGGGACGTCAGTGCTACCGGTCTGTAGTCCTGAGGGTCGCTAGGGCGCGACGTCTTAGGCACCAGAATGAGGCAGGACGTCTTCCACAGCACGGGGACTCTCTGGAGGA